TGCCAGCCGGGCTCAGCCCCGCGGCGCTGCTCCTCTTCCTCTCGCAGTGCTGCCTGCATCCCTACGTCTACAGCTACATGCACAAGGGCATCTGCAAGGAGCTGGGGGCCTGGCTGCGGCGGTGCCCGTGCCAGGCGGCACTCCCCCCAGACGCAGCGGCATGGAGGGTGTTCGCACCCATGCTCTGTGCTGGCTTCGCTCCTTCCTGTCGAAGTCAGGGGCCAGCGTTTCACAGGACGCACCATGCTACCCTGGTATTTGCATCCGCAGTTGGCAGCATTTTGAACTAAGCACGCGCTATTGAGAAATTTAATAAGCTTGTAAAAGATAATGGGACTGTCCATATTGCAGATTGCCATACAATGAAAGGCTTTCCTTGGAGGCTTTTTAATTAAGCTTTTCCTTACTGTTTTTAGTGTATTTTATCAGCATACGTGCTTACTGATTGGGGAAATGCACATATTGTCAAAATAATCACTAAATTAATTAAATTCTCTATTATTCTGTCAGTAGGTATTGTCTGTACATACAGCCTTTGCATTTTGCACCTCAAATCCCTTATTGTCTTGCACATAGTTCATATTTAATAGAAATGAGAATATTGACCTAACTGAGCACCCTGACAGGCGTTTAGCAGACGCTAGTTTTGATCTAAGTTTAGTTGAATTAAGCATGTCACTTTTGTACTTGAAGAGCACAGCAGCCTCAGGTTTCTGTTCTTAACTCTGAAAGCAACAGCCACGTTTCTATAGGAATGCAGCTTTTTCATTCCTGCATTCAAGGGAAAACGAATTTATTCTGATCTGACCCATATGTAAAGTAACATAAGACTGGTCAGAGAAAGAGTTACACCTGTGCTGAACTTCACTTACATAGCTATTTCCATTAGCTTCGGTGCTACAGCTCATGGGAATGAAATTAAACATCACAACATCTGGTATTTGGTCCTTCTTGGTCCTATCTCCATCAGGAAACTACATGTCTGACAGCCATCCTTTCCATGCAGTCTGTGATTAGCATGACCTGACCTTTCTCCATCCTTCTCAACAGTCATTTGCCTTCTCCCCCCTCCTTATGATCCAAAGTGCCTAATAGACTTTCTTTTAGGCCTGGTTTTCACAACTGGATCTTCATACAGTGATTGCCGTTAAAGATCTCACCCACAAGTTCCAGCAGGGACCCCACGTCCGTATTAGGGCTTAGGAGCAGGCAAGGTTTGTTTAAACTTTCCTCCAGTCCTTCACAAAAGATCTCTCGTGAATGCTCAAGCTGTTGGCATAGTAGACTTAAACAATTTCTAAACAAATTTTAGATGTGAACTTAGAACGTGTTGTCAAGTCCAAAAGCACAAATGATACAAGGAGCATTAAGTAAGACAATAAAGACAAGCTTATGGCAAAAGATGTCCTTCCCTCACAACTAATTGTGAGTGCTTCACATGTTTCCAGCTCCTCCACAGCAGCTCAGTTTAAATAGATAAGGGCATGGGCCCCATAGGCACATTGCCCTGTCCTCTCAACCCAGTTCTAGCACTCACTGTACATCTGCGTAGCCTCATTCCTGCATTCACGTTCCAAATCAGGAATGAAGATCAGGCCGCATCTGTTTAGCGCTATCCAAGCAAGTGGAATCAAATGTAAAACATCCAATACTGCAATTCCTTGTTTCTTTGAGATTCTGTTGTAACCTGTCAAGTGTTACTTAAAATATGACAAACACGACATTCTACAAAGTCTGTTGGAATTGGGTGGTTATTACATGGAAATTCTTACAACATATAAACAGATGCTTTGCTTTATGCAAGTCCATTACTGGAAGCACTGCAATAACAAAATGTAGATGCCAACACACCCACTTAGGAAAAGCTAACACTTAGCCCAATTTTTCCATTTTTCAAGAGGACACAAGAGGACAGGAAAGCTCAAGTATCTGTGAGCTGATAGGGACTGCTTTACTAAGCCCATTGCTCTAATCAGAGTAGACTTCAAGAGACAAGGGGCAGCGCCTCTCGGGCAGCGGAACCCCAGCGGCAAATTTCACACCTGTTTACTGGTGGGAAAACAACAGTGGACAGAGTAGTTAGAACATGTATCAGCAACTGTCCAATCTTCCCTGAGTTTTAACAGCTACAGTTCAGATAGTAGTTGATCATGACACTGATAGTCAGTCATGATACCACCTGTCCCAGGTCATCTTTGTAGCCTGCAAAAAAGAGTACCCTTACAAATTCATTTAAAATCTACTCAAACATACAGCCCATGGCAGACGTTAATAGCAGACGCTGGAATTCTTGCTCAGCCTCAAGTTCAATTCAAAATGTTGGGGAGCCTCTTAGAAGTCTTGAAATTCCTGACAAAAGAATGCCTGCAATTTTATAACTGAAGAGGCTATTAAAATGCTCCTTCTCATATAACCCAACGTTTAGGAGCTAGCTCTGCAGCGTAGGAAGGAAGGTTTCATCTTTAAGAATCAACCATTCTCAAGCCCAGCTAAATTCACAACTAAGTTTCCTGGCAAGCTGCACAAGCTTCTAAAGGCTAAGAACAATGAGATCCATGTTTTGGAGGGCTTACAGAAGGGGAAGGTTTTTGCTCTTTGGCAGATGTTCTTGCCCAGCAACAATATTTTGGGGAAAGTTAGAGTAAGTGCACAGCTGAGGCACAGGTAACAGCAGCAGTAGCTTCAGAAGTCTCTGCCAGTTCTGCAGCCATGGATTCCAGTTACCAACAGGTCCCTGTGCCAGCACAGATAATTTCCAGCCACACAGGGCAGCTAATAGGTGGAAGTCGTACCCAAACTGCTTATTAGCAGTATGAGACTTGAGAGCTATCAGCTGGCTGCTCCTGAACTAGCCAAACTTGTGCAATCTGTATTCAACTAGTGAAGGCCTAATTAACAGGAAAGGAGACAAGTCAGTGGGAATTGTGCAGGTTTATTTGAACAAAAAAAAAAGTACTGACATTTTTAATAAAGTCTACATTACACTAAATGCATGTACATTTGTAAGAAGAAAAACTAGTTGTAAAGAAGGTGCGGGATAATATGTACAATCATAGTTAAGTTAAAAAATTCACATTTTACATAAGATTTACTTGACAGTCCTATGATGGTATAACTGGTGACCAGAAGAGGAAACAAAAAAAAAAACCCCAAAACACAAACAAACAAAACGCAAGAAACTTAACTGGGAGCTGTATAATGCACTTGTTGTTCAAATAAACTAGTTCACAGAATTTTTATTTGTTCTAAATCAAACTTTGGATACAATTTTCAGAATGGTTAGAATTAATCTGTTCAATGAGTATACTAATGTAAACATTTTTCCAGTGGTGCCATCCCCTTCCATAAAAACATGTATTTTATGCTGTAATCTGCTCTTCAGCTTTTACAAATTAGAATAATTATGCAGTATGTTTCTCAAGACATGGTAAAAATTATCAAACAGCAAGGGAGATATGTTCAAAAGACACTTTGAAATTCTTCAGTCCACTTTCACAACACTGTATATCTTACTTACAAACCAGAAGCAGGCAAAAAATCCAATAGTCCCTAAAATGAGAAAGTTAAAATGGTTAGTTTATCTTCCAATTTGCTCTGAGAGAAAAATCTTAAGTATTTCACAGCAGGACAGAGCATAACATTGTAATCCAGCTAACTATCCAGAATAATAGCACTTGTTAAATTTAAACAACACACATTCATCCCTAGGCTAAGTTATTGATTTAGATCAAAGATGACTCTTAGGACCAAACTGCATGATGTATATTTAAACCACTGAAGGTAATGATCAAACACGCTGCTATAACACCACCAGCAAGCACACAAGCACCATTTAAGAAACTGACTTTCATACACATGCAAAGTCAACACCTACCTGAAATCATTCAGGGTTTTTTAGATTACAGTTATTTCAAAGCCAGCTATGAGTTATGCCATCGAATATGACCTTGGGAAAAGTCATGTGGCCTGTTCCTCTGTTCATCCTGTTCTATCTATGTGGACATAATACTCAAGAACAGTGACCTCCTTGCTCTGTACATCCTGTTACTTCCTTTTGCTGCAGCTATGCTCTGAGCACTGTAGCAGCTGGGAGCAAGCATCACATGAAACTAGCAGTGACAGGCTCAAACCAAAACAAATAATCTTGTATAATACATATTCAAGTTGTGGATTTTCTTGCCATAGGTCGCTGTAGATACTAAAAATGTACACTGGTTTAGAGGATTGCACGAATTCATGAACAAAGAAATCCAAAGGCTATTAATTACAGAGATATTATTTCAAGTGCTCAGAATACCTTGAGCTGCAGCTGCTGGGAAGCTGGGAGAAAGTACCTCTACATACCTGCCCCTGTTCTCATACCTCCCCCGGGGCATACTGCAGTTTGACAGGGTGTTGGGGTAGCAGACCTGGATCTGGCTTGGCATAGCCTTCCTTGGTTTCTTACTAATCCAGTTCTGCAGTCATCCAACCCAACAGTATGGGGGGTGGGGGGGAACAACTTCTGAAGGCACTTTGGCCATATGTGAAGTCCTATGGCTTGACTTACCACAGTACAGAGGAAGAGGATGGAAACGAGGAAAGATAAAAACGAGGAAGATGAGGAAGCGACATGAAGAGAATAGCCTATATCAGCTTTTTTTTGTTTTTAAGCTGAAGAATGAGTCTGTGGTTTTCCCCCAATAGTCACTATTATACAATTGCAAAAGATGTTGTCCGTTGCATTTATTTGAATTTCCTTAAGAACTTGGTACTCAAGGAGACGATAGCTTTCATAAAAATAATTAAGTCTTAAGCCTCTCTAAGGAGAGTGACACATTGTTCCACATGCTTTTACCTGTGGGTAAATTGTGACACAAATGTTAAGCCTGACCAGCTAAAAAAGGAAGGTGTCAGTTTTGGCTGAAGTAGCTCTCAAAGACACAGCCGTGTGACAGCCTTTACCAGCTACACTAGCCTCTTGCAAGATCGTGCATTCAGCACCATCAGATCTACACGCATAGTTTTCTGTTTGTACAGCCCATGTTCAATATCAGCTCCAACTTTTTTCACTCACTCCTCTTTCTTTGTGAGGTTCTCTATTAAGCATTTGCCTTTTCTTCATTCATTACATTTTCTGTCCTTCAGAGCACATCTGCACATTTGGTAATTGAGAAACCTATCTTTGGATGCTGATTATCTATATGTCACTTCTCATGTCCTTCGTGCTGCCATGTATATTTGGGGCTAAAGGCTTTTTGACAGCCTACTATTATGCACCACAGATTATCCTTTCCCTCTGAGTTTGCAGTTATCTCTGAAACAGTAGGAGACAGCAGATTTACTGCTGTCGATAGAAGATCAGACACCAACCACAGAAGGAATTTAATTCCTCTGTAGGCTTGGCAACACTAAGTCTTTACAGTTTACGGTCAATTCTCCCTCCTTCCTACTGTGTCCGATACTCCAATATCAGCATTGTTACTCTTAGCCTCACCCTCATGTTTTTTTCCTAATAATGGTTCTCAGCACCTGCTTTCTAGTTTGTATAATACAGCCCACTTTGAGCCTTTTAAGCCTTTGAAAAGTGTTTCTTCCTAATGTTTAACAGATGAGGTATCTTTAAAATCTATCTGCTGTTCTTCAACAAAATTGCAATATCATAAGGTAAAAATTGCAACTTTAACATGAGAATTACAGCACACTTTTCTGATCACGCTATAACTTAATACAGGAATATACTCTAAAACCACAGTGTTTTCCTCCAATCCTTGTCACTTTGAATCTTTCTGACACAGCAGCTTTCTATTACATGGCCTCATTCATGGCAGAATCTGCAGACTTCAGGCTCTGAATGAGCGTTTCATCTACAAACAGATTTTCACAGGTTTCAGTAACACTGATTTTCAGCATCCCTCCTAAAAAGAGCCTGTTCAGTACAGCCTCATCTAGTCACTGCCATCTCTGTCAGAAGAGTTTCCTTCTGTTTTTACTTTGGCAGTGTTTTATTCACACATCTGCAAGTTAGGGTTTACCAGTACGGTAATGCCTTCTTCCCTCCCAAAAACAAATGTGTCCTACAAATTCTGGATGTGGACAGCTCTACGGACTAGAAACTTTGAAAAAGGGCACCAAACTAAGAATCCCATTATGTGGCCGAAGTACCCCTCCTAATAGTATATTCTGCACTAAAAAGATCAGAATGGTTTGAAAGATGCTGGCAGAGTCACAGCCAGGTTGAAAATCCACCTCGGGGGCGGAGGAGGGAATACAGCGCCTGGCTCCACTGAAATTCAGTGTTTTTTCCACCTCAGATCTGCAGGCGGATTGGGATTCCACGAACTGCTTCCAAGAGGTCCACAAAAGGTAATTCAGTCAAAAAGCAGGAGTTTCCTGTGCAGGAGTACATATCCCAATCTGAAAGGGATCTGCAAATGAGTAAGGATTGGGAAAGGAGAAGAATAAGTCTGACCTAATTTAGCTCCTTTGAAAATCCTAGCCAGAATAAGTTTTCTGCATTTTAGATCAATTTGCAAATTTGCCATTTGTTCCAAATCTCCTATTC